CCAATGAAATTAAAAAGGCCCCCAGGGGAAATAAGTCACTCTTCGACTTTTTTGGGGTTTATCCTGGTTCTCTACACACATGCTGCTTTTATGATAATTTATGTAACTGTATTTGTGTAACCTGAAAAAAACTTACTTACTAGGTCACTTGCCCCATGAGCGCGCGCGCCTCTCTCTCCCCTCTCCCCCCCCTCTCTCTCCCCTCTCTCTTTCCTCTCTCTCTCTCTCTCTTCTCTCTCTCTCTTTCTCTCTCTCTCTCCTCCTCTCTCTCTCGTCCCCCTTTCCCGTTTTCGTTTTAGGTCCTAGCTGTTATTTGGTAAAGTTTGGTGGGAAATTGTGTGGATTCGTCCATTGTTGATGCAAGACTTGTATTTTTACATCATCTGTGCAGCAAAAACTAAATAAAATACGTCCCATCTATATCACTACCCCCCTTTACACTTTACATTTTTTAGTCTATATACTACCACCTAATTTTTGCAGAAAAAAGTCTCGTAACCAAACCCCTTTCCTAAAACTTAAATTGTCATCTTTACATAAACTGTGCACTTTTTTACAGAAAATTTTAAACATAAGACCATACAAATTTGCCAAACAATGGTACCAAGAGGAACTGGTGTGGGTGTTAAAAAAGCAATCCTCCAGGGGGGGAAGGCTACTCCCTCCTGCCATGTATGGACCGGAAGCTTCTTAATGTTTTGCACTCGACTTGATAGTGGTTTTTCTTTTTGTTCACGAACATGTAATTTTTAAAAACTTCTACTTGCATTCATAACTTTTAATTCATTTTCCCTATGTATTTCCAAATAGTTCCAAGTCATGTTACTTTCTAATTTAGGAGATGATAAAAGCCAGCCCAGGGGCAAAAAAATAATAAAAAATTTAAAATAAAAATAAAAAAAAATTTTAATAAAATTATTTTTCATAAGTACATGTACAAGGTATACAGGTTTAGCTGACATCAATGAGTACTACTATTAAAAGCCGTTTTGTTATGCAGAGCATATGGGGAAAAAATTTAGGTTTTTGTCCCAGGTTGCGCCCCAAACCCCAGTCGACTAACAACCCCAGGACCCTTTTACTGATGGGAAAGGACAACCGGTTGAAGGAAAACGCCAATGTTTCTACCCCACTGGGAATCAAACCCCGGAAACTCGCCGTGTGAAGCGAGAGCTTTAGCCACCGCCATGGGGCATGATCCAGAAAACCATTAGCAGTAAAAAATGTAAACCAGGAAATAAAAACTTTGACTTTTTTGGTTATCCCAGGTTTTTTACATATATGCGCTAGTATGATAATTATGAACTTATTTGTGTATACCCGAATAAAATTACTTGAGTGCCGAAAAGCCAGGCTATGGCAGCTTTTCAGGCCTGAGACAACTTGCACCAGAATGGTTTACCAAGCAGCAACGCACTGCCTGGGAAAAACCCTGAAATTTTTTACATATACAATGTAAAAAAAAAATGGATTTATAAAGCAAAAATTCTAATGTTCTGTATTTTTTTGACACATTCAAAAGACATTTCACCTTTTGGTACTTTAAATTTGCCCTAAAAAGATTTTCAGCATTTTTTCATATATTGTTTTTCTTTATTGATCTATATTCCAGCAAGTAGAATTCACTCTTCATACCTTTAACTCGCAAAATTTTGCTTATTCTACAAGTGGTCCCTCTTTTTAAACAACAAAAATATTTTATTTAATTTTTTCTGTTGAAGCATTGCAAAATTTAGATAGTTATTTTTTGATAGGTTAAATACTGTGTAGAGTAAGGGTATATTATGTGTACCCTAGTAAAATTTTGGGTTTAATTGCCAAGATAATCTTGGTGTTACAGTAATTAAAAAATTTTATGACATCCCAGCTCATGAAATATATCTTAAGAAAAACAGTTTTCTGTATATAATTTATTTTTAGAACAAATTTGCTTCTTTTCCTTTTTGGGTATAATAAATTTGTATCCTTCCATGTTTAGGTTAGTAAACTGTTAGTACTATTTTTTGAGCTGTGCTTTTTAAGGGAAAAATTTCAGGTGAGTTCATGTGTCCCCTTTCCTTCAGGTAGTTGCACCCCAGGACAGGGTTTTCGGGAGAGTTCTGGACGGGCCAGCAGCAGCAGCAACCGCTTTGTGTCCAGGTGACTCAACACCCCAAACCCCCACCCCCACCATCACCCCACCACCACCAGCGCAGCAGGCAGAGTAAAACCAAACCCACCCTCAATTCAGTCCCGAGCTCAACATGACCAATGGGACCCCAACCCGAAATCCTCTGGGATGGTCGCCACCACAAAGTCCACTGCCCCCTTCCCGCCTCCCGTCGCTACCACAAGCCCCCAACCCTCGTCCATGTCTCACCCCCACGCCCCCGACGTCCCTGTCCAGCCCGCATAACCCCCCCTAAACCAGGGCAGCACACCCCTCTCACAGACGGGGGCCACCCCTGCCCTCCACCCCCCCGAACCAAATACGTTAACTTTCTGGTAAAATTGATTTAATACAACTTTGTATATTATTTATTGAAATATTTACAGTCCTCTTTTGTGATCACAACACCCTGGATAAAGGGTCAGTGGCAGTGCACCCGTCACATACTGGTGCCAGTGGCTCAATCCCCGGCACAGGGGAAAAAGTTGGGATTTCCCCTTTTACCTCGCCCCCGTTCGCGTAGCAGTAAGTAGGTATTGGGTGTTATTTACTATTGGGGTCACATCCTGGGGGATGATAGTTACCCTTTTTTAGGGTGGGCTTTGAAATGAGCTGAGGGGGTAGCGTCTTAGCCTGATAATTGTTTTTTAAAAAAAAAAAACTTAATCATGCTGAGTACAGTAAAAGTACTTACACTACAGTTAGGGCTGCATTACTTTATACAATATTAGGTGCCCCAAAATTTTTTAACAATTTTTAATTAAATGCATTTGCAAAAAAAAAATGGGTAAAAACTTGAAAAAAGACTGATTCTGCAATTTATTAAATCTTTAACTAAAATGGGGGGAAAAAAATAGCCAAAATTAAATCCAAATACCTCAAAATTAAATTTATAAACTTTAAAAATTAATTCCAAAAAAACCAATTTTAAAATAGGAAGATGTAAATATCCCTAAAAAAGATCCTTTTCATCCCCGGTGTTTAATAAAAAATTCCGCAAAAAACCCCCAATTTTGAATTACAAACAAATGGTAACTGTTTTGACCAAATAAAAAAACCCAAGATTAACAAGAAGTGTTTCCCTTTGACCCAATCTGGCCAAATACCCCAAAACAGGATAATTGAAATCCCCGCCCTACCCCCTTTTTTTTAAAAAATTTTAAAAACCCCAAAAACCAACAAAAAGTATTAACTTACATTTTAGGCAGCTTAAAATTACACAAGTGAAACTATGGCAACTGAGAGAAAACAATAAGTTTGGAATGTTAATAAATTTCTAAAAAGCCCAAACCCTATAACAAGCATTCCCAAAAAAACAACAGAGACAGCAAGAGATGACAGCCCTGGTTAAAAAGACCAAATCTTTTTAAAAACAAAAAAAAACCCAAAGAAAAACATCAGGGGTCACTAACCCGAGCCCCAAAAAAACCGTTATCGAAAAATTAAAACCGCCTGTAAAAGGAAAAAAATTGTTTATGAAACAGATTACCAAATTCATTTAAAAAAATAAAATTTTAAAATTCTGAACAAAAAAAATCCGTGGGAAATAAAAATTTGAAAAAGTAACCCCCTCCCCCCCAAAAAACGCCAGTCAAAGATTCTTTTATGGGAAAAACCCTTTTCAATAAAACCGGGTTAGTACCCCAAAATGATATTGGCAATCCCGCACACGTTCCCCTGTCCCCACAAATTTTATTACAAAAAACGTTTAAAAAAAAAAAAAAAGGAGGAGAAAAACCTTTAATTTAAACAAAAAAGTGTAAATGTATAATAGCAAAAATTTTTCTCCCGTCCCCACCCCCCACAGTATAAAATAGCAAGGGGGCCCCCGACCACAAAGGGAAAACCAACAAATTGAAATAATATTGGGCCCAATACCGGGAACTTTTAACCTTTAAAAAAATTGAAAATTATTTTTATAAAAATTTACTCCATTTCTAAAACATTTAATGAATTTAATTTTTACCCAAAAAAAATACTAAGATGTATTAAACATCTAAAATTTTTTAAAATGCATGGAAAAAAAAACGGGGGAATTTATTACTAAAGCTTTGTAAGTTAACCATATTGCCCCGTAAAATGGAAATTTGGAAAAGGGGCATCCCCAAACCTGTCATTCGCAAAGAACAATTGTTATCAAAAGGGGACAAACCCCCCTGCCCCAATTCGGGGCCCAAGGGAAGGTCCGGGGCCCCCCTTCTCCTATACATAAATGCTCCCAAAGTCGCAATTAAAAACCCCCAACAATACACACATACGCTTCCCCCCCAGCCCAAGTCAGCTAGCCAAACTGTAAAAACAAATTAAAAAAATATCTCCTGGATGAGGACCTAAAAACTTAAATAAAATTGCAAAACCTCTTCATTCAGTTTTTAACATTTTCAAAAATGTCCTCTTTTAAAAAAAAAAGGGTATTCACAAACTGAGGAAAATTTTTAGGAAAAACCACCTTGTAAAAGACTAATTTCAACACAAAAAAACCCCCCAATTTTTTTTTAAAAAATTTCCAAACATCTTTTGTGAGTCTCGAACTTATTTTTTAAATATTGCCCTCAACATACCGTAGTTAATCTGTCTATTTTGAGCACCTGTGTTGAGGAGCAAGACAAATGTATACAGTACTGTATTTTTTCAGTCAAATTTACATGCCAGGATTTTCTATAAAGTAACATTTAATGGAATAATTTTCAACATGAATTACAAGACCACGTGAAATATTAAGATTTGCTGATACGGTAGTAAGTTTTTGGTATTATTAAATTTAGCACCTGGAAACCATTAAGAAAAGGGATAATTTTATGTATCATAAGATGGTAAAGTAGATGTATTTACAACTCTATTTCAGCACCCTTACCCAAGTGAAGATGAGAAAAGACACATCGCAGCACAGACCAACCTGACGCTTCTGCAAGTGAACAACTGTTCATCAATGCCCGACGTCGTATCCTACAACCCATGATCGATGCCTCCACTCCTCCCGACCAGAAGACCAAGAAGTCGAAGGCCTACAACCCCAAGGCCTCTGCCACAAGGTTCTGGCCTGATAGTCTCATAAGTCTGCATGGTAAACCACAGAACAACAATAACAACAACAATACGGCTTCATCACTCGCTCGCAAGACTAACTTTTCTAACACGGGTACGTTGCATGGCTTTGGTGACTGTGCTTCCACAGGCTTTGCTCATGAAATTAGAAAAAATGCAATCGGATACAGGCATGCACCTGACAGACCATTTCATTTTAAACTTGCACAAGGATGTATAATAGATGTTTACAAAAGGGCTGCTCGATTTTTCTTGCACTACAGCATATTTACTACTACATTGCTTATGGCTAAAAGACTTGATTGCTCTTGCTTTAAAAAAAAAAAAGATTTATTGTGCTCACCTTAAACTGCTATGGTAATTCTGCACTGAAGCTTGGGAAAGAATCCTGTTGTCCATGACTGCTTGGTTTTTATCGTACTATAATTTCTTTGAAATCATTCTAATAAAATTATTTGTAATTTACTAAATTTTATATTTCTGTTTGTAAACTTTAATAATATTCGTAAAATTCACTTTAACATTTAAACATAATTAACAATATAAAAAAATCACTTTCAAAATATTAAAATGATAATCACTATTCTTAATTACAGTAATATACAAATAAATACAGTATTCACATATGGTATATTTACTGTATACAGTAATTGCTGAATACAGTATATGTATTTCAACAAACTGATTAATAATTTAAGTCAATGGGCCACATTTGCCTTTAGAAACATGACTGGTAGTGATCAAATGAAATACTGTTTTTTCCCTTGGTCAAGGTAACTCAAGTTAATATTTCTTGGTGATTTACATTGTTTAAATACAGTACTGTAATAGCATTCCATCATTATGGAAAATTTTCTAGGGTGCTTACCTGTATGTACCTCAACATTATATACATACCAGTAATCTCATTGGGAGACAATCATATTGTTTACCGTAGTCACCCCGTGTAGACATGTGAGAAAACTTAACCACCCCTGGTCGCACCAAGTGGTCCCCTCGACCTCACAATCTTATCCATATCTATCCGAGACCAGTATGGATTGGGTAGCACCCACAAGTACGGTGCTACTAATTAATTGTGGACTGTATAGATTATATTAGTTTAGCTGAATGAAGGGGAGGGGTAGGATACACCTGGATACATCCGTCAAGGAAAACATTGTACATAATCCACTCTTTACCAGATGTTCTCTGGGGTACTTGATGTAGCTGGATCACTCGTAACCTATCTAATTATAACATACCACTACTGGCCAGTCTAAGGTTTGCTATAACTAGAAGGGTTACTTAACGTGGTGATTGATATTCCTCATTTCTTGATTCCCATCTCATTTTCGGTGTCCTGCTACACCGAACGATTCTCATTCTCATTCAGCAAGGACGGGTATCCGCTGGTTTGTCCTGCTTAGACGTCGTGACTCAAGGAGTTTCCCTTTTCCTCGCTCGTTAACAACGAGGTCTAGCGTGTTCACTTTGGAGCAAACGACTTATTTCACTTCACATTCTCTTAACATAGCGTTTATTTCCTTAATTACATTACAATTCAAAAAGACGATCTAATGACTCAAATTATATATACACATAAGATCACTCCATTAAGATCTGAGACCGATGAGTGATGATTAAACCAAGGGTAATTTTCCGGGGCTCAGTCCAGGACGACGCGTCAGTCACCCCCGGTCCTACCCGTAATCACCTTTTACCACTCTATTATGTGGCCCGTAAATCACGTTCCCTCACTCTCCATTAGAAACAGTCACGACACTTCCTATTACGAAATGAGGCCTATATTAACCTTAGGCCGCCGATGAATGGGCCCAAATTCGTGGTACCATGCCTTTTCCGCTTCCTCTCCACCTTCAAAACAAACCCGCCACTTCCCCCCCGCACATCCGCGCATGCGCAAAAGGGAGCTCTTGGTTCTACTCTTATTTTCAAATACAAATTTTTGACCCATATAGACACATTTTAAAAACCTATTAGGCACTATAGTTTCGAAAATTATAAAATTTTCCACACTGCGGCCGGGCGGAGGTCGTTGCTAGACGACTTACATAATGTGGAGTACAATTTTTTCATCTTCACTGGCCACCCATATTTATTGAACTCTCAAAATGGACTAATTGGTGTTTCCATCTCTCAGGGGGATAAGCCATGCTCCCTGGATTAAGTTTATTGGGCATACTGGAATTTTGAGACTTTACCAATAACAAGTCTCTCAGTATCCCAAGTCAGCCCCAGCACATTACTGCATATAGGCACCAACTCCATGCCACCCCTATTTATTGAACCCTCAAAATGGACTAATTAGTGTTCCATTCTCTCAGGGGCATAAGCCTATGCTCCCTGGATTAAGTTATTGGGCATACTGGAATTTTGAGACTTTACCAATAACAAGTCTCTCAGTATCCCAAGTCAGCCCCACACATTACTGCATACAGGCACCAACTCCATGGCCATCTATAAATTTTTTGATCCCTCAAAATGGACTAATTAGTGTTCCATTCTCTCAGGGCATAAGCCTATGCTCCCTGGATTAAATTTATTGGGCATACGGAATTTTGAGACTTTAACAATACAAGTCCTCATATCCCAAGTCAGTCCCAGCACATTTCTTCATTATTTCATTAACCCCTTCACATATCCTCATTAGTTCCTCTTCAGTTGACGTCACACCCGGAAATTGTCCACATAAGATTATTTACCCAATTACTTCGCTCCCGTGGACCGCCTGTGCACTTAAGGTGTGCATTTATCGTCGCCTGGAGTAAGAACAATTTATTATTTAACTCTTATTTAATTTTATCATTATAAGCATCAACAATTTTGGTGTCTTGCTCAGTTCGCAGAGCTGGGTCCTTTAACTGTCCATACGCATCCTATAATTGTAGGTAATTCTGGACGGTCAAGCTTCCACGGAAGTCGCACCCAGTAATGTCCAGATTCACATTTAACATCCTTCAGGTATTGTTCCTGAGTAAAAAGGGAAACATTTGGAAATTTCCTCATTTACATTAACCCTATGCTGTCCCCGCTCCACAAATTAGAACTGGTTCAACATCATTCTCGATAGAAAAATACTTGTACTGGGTTGACCTTTCATGAGTAAGACACCGTGACCGTATTCACTACTTCCTCTAGTCATTATTACTAGGCGGGAGTCTGCCATATATTACATGGCCCGTACCAGTGTTGAGGAGAGTGACGGGCCCTATGGTTTTGGATTTATGCCCTTTATCCTGAATTTTTTTCATCCAACCCCCCGGCAAAAGGGTAAACCTCAGCTAGGCCATCATTATTGCATTAGCGCAACCTTTACATCAGTCACTGTAGTGTCAAGGTTATTAACATTATCATTAATGTCACCATTATTATAAGAATCACATACAACCCTGCACATAACTGTATGGTGCTTTCCTGTTGCTTGATAGCAACTGTTCAATTTGGTATGACAATCCTTTACATTATGATTGTCTAGACATCTGATAAATCTGTCAAGTTCTTTCATTCTTTCCACTTTAATATCCCATGAATTACAGGCATTACAATTTTTTTTGTGAAATGAGTACCCTGGCAGAAGAGGCAGTCTCTCTTTTCCTTGAATGACCTTATTAACTGGGGTTTCACTTACTGAGTACTTATTTCCCCTTACCTTGATGTGAGGAACCACTATTACTGATTCCCGACTTGATATGTGCCCATTTAACTCTTAACTATGATTATTACCACTGGGATTATTTTTCCCTTTTTTGAGGCTTGACAGATACTTCAGAGTCATTAATTTTTATTTCCTTAGAACTGTTTTGACTGACTGGTCTGCAATTGAACAATTAATTCCTGCCGACCTAAATCTGATTTCCTCCAGACCGTACTATGGAGGTTTTGGGAAACACACCCTTTGCATTAATAGGTTGATCAACTGCCTGGCTTACACCCTTTAATTTATTCAAAGCCTTACTTTTACAAACAGTTTTTCTTCCAATTCGTAAAGTTGATTAATTAAAACATTCATTTCCATTTCCATCTGCACAATTCTCGCAGATCTCTTTCACAGTCTTTGAACCACAATTTTTTACCAATCAAATCTACTCTCTAAAGCATCTAAATATAACTTTAATTCATTAGGGTTCACGGTTCTTTGATTCACTAAATCAAATGCCTTCGTCACATGGCTTTTAATAGCCTAATGATCTTTCATTACTCTAAATTCACGGACTTGTCAGCCACATTAACTCCTTAGATCCAGTCAATGGTTAGAGAATTATTAATCACTGATTAAAACAACTTAAGTAGGCGCCTTTTAAGAGTAATTCTTGCAAATTACTCTTGTATAAATTTCCCAGCCACACATGGGCTAGCAATTAATTGGGCTAATTGTCATCCATCACACGATCGATTTAAACTTGTGCACCCTACACCCACTTCCTTCAATCAGTCACTTAATTATTAAGTAATTAATTAATTAATTTTTTCACTGATTGCATCCGTTTTCGAAGGACCAACGGGCAGATATGGAAAATTTTCTAGGGGGCTTACCTGTATGTACCTCAACATTATATACATACCAGTAATCTCATTGGAGACAATCATATTGTTTACCGTAGTCACCCCGTGTAGACATGTGAGAAAACTTTAAAAAACCCCTGGCGCACCAAGTGGTCCCCTCGACCTCACAATCTTATCCATATCTATCCGAGACCAGTATGGATTGGGTAGCACCCACAAGTACGGTGCTACTAATTAAATTGTGGACTGTATAGATTATATTAGTTTTTGCTGAATGAAGGGGGGGGGGGTAGGATACACCTGGATACATCCGTCAAGGAAAACATTTGTACATAAACCCACTACTTACCAGATGTTCTCTGGTGGTCACTTGATGTAGCTGATCACTCGTAACCTATCTAATTATAACATACCACTACTGGCCAGTCTAAGGTTGCTATAACTAAAGGGTTACTTAATGTGGGTGATTGATATTCCTCATTTCTTGATTTTACCATCTCATTTTCGGGGTCCTGCTACACCGACACGATTCTCATTCCAGCAGGACGAGGTATCCGCTGGTTTGTCCCTGCTTTAGACGTCGTGACT